ACTGGTGCACCAGTATAACGGCAGTGAGGAGGACTTTATCGCTGAGGCTAGCATTACGTACATTCCCTCCATGCCTGTCATAGAGCACGGACCATATTCCGGAGGACCGAACGAGCTCTTAGATGAGAAGCTTATTGTGGCTGAAATCAGGGCCGCGCTACAGAAGCTAAACACCAAATCTGCACCGGGACCAGACGGGATCACTAACAGAACACTACGGAACTTTGATGACCAAGCCATAGAGAACATCACGCAATATATTAACGAGTGCTGTACCGAGGGCACTATACCAAAACAGTGGAAAAAAGCTAAAGTAATCCTCAACCCCAAGCCCGAGAAACCCCCCGATCTATCGAATTTACGCCCCATATCACTAACGTCTTGTGCTGGGAAGCTGATGGAACACGGTTTTCTAGAGAGAATCAACACCTATCTTGAGGAGAACAAAATCCACCCAGATTCCATGTTGGGATTCCGCACACGGCTCTCCCCGCAAGACGCTATGCTGCATATTAAGCAGCAGATTCTAGACAACAAAACAAGAGCTACCCGGGCAATTTTAGGGTTAGACCTTAAAAAGCCTTCGACAAAGCAAAACAAAACAAGAGCTACCCGGGCGATTTTAGGGTTAGACCTTAAAAAGCCTTCGACAAAGCATCGCATACGGCTATCTTACATCAGATCTGCCAATTAAGCTTAGGATCAAGAGCGTATAACTATGTCAAGGACTTCCTAACAGACAGAACGGCATCTATCGTAATGGGAGAACTGAGATCTGAGGAAAGGCTTATGGGCAGTGCTGGTACCCCGCAGGGTTCGGTCATATCGCCAATGCTGTTTAATCTCATAATGATAGGACTCCCGGCGCGGCTGAACTTAATATACGGAATACATCATTCTATATATGCAGATGATATCACCATCTGGGCGTGCGAAGTTACTGATGGAGAGATAGAGCAGAGACTACAGGAGGCCGTCACCACTATTGAGGAGTATCTTGATCGTACTGGCCTCGAGTGCTCGCCAGATAAATCCGAACTCCTCCTCTATCGCCCCACGCTTAAAGGCAGACCACCCAAGGGATACAACCAGGACCATGCTTACGGAGAGATCCAAATTCACACCAAAAACGGCAGGACTATTCCTATAGTGCAACAAATCAGAGTCCTTGGACTCATCATCGAGTCTAAGGGTACAAACGGTGAAACCGTCAAGAGGTTAGTAACCAAAGTCACCAACGCAATAAGGCTAATCAAGAGAGTCACCAACAAACACCAAGGCATGAAAGAAGCTAACGTCATCAGGCTTATTTATTCATTCGCCATAAGTCACATTATATACGTAGCGGCATATCTAAACTGGTATACAGCAGAAAAACTCAAAATCAACGCACGCATACGAAAGGCGTACAAACAAGCTTTGGGCCTTCCGGATAGCACCAGCAGCGAAAAACTGTTTCAACTGGGCTTACATAACGCTTTAGAGGAGCTGATAGAAGCGCAACAGATTGCCCAGTTGGAGAGGCTAGCCAGCACGCGCACAGGACGAAGTATCCTTGGCAAGTTGGGGATAAATTACCTTAGGCAACAAGAAAGTAAAGTGTCGGTTTTAAAGGTGATCAGGGAAAAGATCAAGGTCCCCAATTTGCCCAAAAACATGCACCCCGAATTTAATCAGGGCAGAAGAGAAAGCCGCGCTAGAAATATGCTTAAGGCCTACGGCAGAGACAAGGAAGCGTTGTTCGTAGACGCAGCGGAGTACCCTAGTCACAAATCCTACGTTGCGGTAGTAATAAACACCGACCGCAAATGCGCAAACGCGTGCTCCATACGCTCGGATAATTCAGAAATTGCGGAAGAGGTGGCTATTGCACAGGGCATAATTTCCCCAAAGTGTAGGTATGTCATCAGTGACTCACAGTCAGCAATCCGTAACTATGCACGAGGAAGAATATCTCCCGAGGCAGCCAACATACTCCTCCGCAAGGCAAGTCTCATATCATCCGAGGAATTCGAAGAAAGGTATATTATATGGTTCCCAGCCCACACCCTGTGTGCGTCGCTTCTTCCCAACCTCAACGAGGAAGCTCACCGCGTAGCACGAGGTCTCACTTACCACACTCGCAATGGAGCTTCACAGGAGGTACTGGGAGGAGATGAGTGGTGGGAGAGGGACAGAATGTTTAGGTTCTGCGACATTATACAATGCTACCAAAAGTCGAGGCGCAGATTTTCACCACCTAGCTCCACATTAGACAGATCTCAGGAGGTTGACTGGAGGCGACTTCAAACTAGAACATTTCCCAACCCGAAGCACCTAAATCGCATCTACCTCGAACTATACCCAGATGACTCGTGTAAACAATGTAGCATGAGACGCGCCTCCCTAGAGCATATGTTATGGGAATGCACACAGATACAGGACGCCAATGCAGTCTCCCCAGAACAGCTTGGGGCGCGGTGGAGAGCCGCGCTGATCAGCCCAGATCGGACAGATTAAATATGGGCCATCCAGCGAGCACGGGAGGCAGCTGAGAGACAGAGTCTCTCTCTCCACCGCCCCTTGTGCGGCTTAGGCCCACGCCTCAATCCGCTGGTTAAATAAAGTTTGCTCACTCACTCACGTACTTTGGCAATTGATAGTCTGCAAAGCATGCAAAGGAAAGGTGACTGTTCTGTCTGTCAATTCATCTGTCCATCCACTGATCCCCGTGTCCGTCCACACGTCCTACTGTCCGTGCATCTGTACATACGTTCACCTGTCCTACCTCCCGTGCATATGTCCACATGTCCATCCGTCCGTGCGTGTTGGAATTTTTATTGAGCTTTTGAAATTACGCTAAATATCTGTACACGTGTTACAAGCACAGGCATATGTTGAACAGTCGCAGATGTTTATATAACGAGTGGTTTGCACTTGCGCAACAATGCCGAGAGGAACATCAATATTAACAACACAAGCAACGATAAGCAGATATAAAGCGCTGGTGCGTGCAAGCAGGGTGGCCCAGGACACAGCTGCGTAAATCAACCTCAGGGGCTGATACCTCATTAAAATGGACGTTAACTGGACGTGAGTGCTGTATCGTAGGAGCATATATGTAATCATTATCAATTGAATTGCCAGCACTTCAACCACTAATAACGTTTCACTAAGATCGCGATCTATTTGAAAAGTAGTTCTGAGACCTGGCGGTGGAACACTTCATTGCCGCGTAGAGTGCTTGGGTTGAATTCTTCATGGGACCCTGGCATTTATTTGCATTCGTCCGATCAACGCTGCCGATGTTGACTTTTTCTGAACACTAACGTGGTAAGACCACCCAGGTGTGTTCTCGGCATTTCTGAGTAGACACTAAACGTCCATAACCTGTGGCACATACCCGTATACCAGTGGCACATACCCGCCCACGGGCATGTGCCAGTGTCTGGCGGGAAATATTTGATGACGTACGTGACGGGTTTGTGATATTATTTATGTCTTCACTAGCGCGTCATATTGGTCAAACCACATAGCCTTCCATAATAATTTTGGTTCACTTGAAGCTAATAAGTTATCTAATGTTTACAAAAAAAGCAAAACAAAATTATTGTCAAGGGCGGTTTCCCGATTTGAGGACACCAGTGGCCACTGCTGCTCACCGGGCTTGATCTCGGAGAACCCTTTCGGTCTGCAGGTCAGGTTGGGCTAGTTTGGCCTCGCAAGGCTCCCCCAGCATTGTGGGTGTCGGAGACGATTGTACCTCTATGGGCTTGTTGTGGCATTCGAATGTGACGTGTTGCAATGCCGGTCTCAGTTTGCGCCAAGGACATTGATTTACATATGCATTGGTGTTTATGTGAGGCAAGCTTTCCAAATGCGGATAGGTATTAACGTGAATTTGCCGAAGGTGGTGAGTTCCGTCGACTTTAAGTGTGTTTTGCGTGGTTGTGCATAATGCTGTTTTGTCTTACGTTGATGCTAGAGTACATCGCGTGAAGTGTAAGGTTCGTACTCATTATCGGTGTCGGTCTTTGCTGTGGCGGTCACGAGAGCACACAATCGTAATAAGCTAGATAGATAGACAGACAGTTAGATAGATATATGGATAGATTGCTAAAAAGACACGCATATAGACAACAAATTGCTTGCAGTACGCCAAGAAATGCTTAACAAATTAAAACTCTGGCGGTTTAACGTCTCAAAACCACGATATTATTATGAGACATGGAAACTTCGACAACCTGCGGTCCTTTAACATGCACCTAACTCTAAACACATGGCTCTCAAGCTTTTCAGCCTCTATGAAAAATGCGACCGCCACGGCCTACGAAGCCTTCGTTGAAAGGCTGCACTCTTCACTCGTGCACTATGTGCCAGTCATCTTTTACGTTCGGAAAGCCGATGGGGGGTCTGTCTTCCCAAAAAGGAACATTGCCGTGAGAGAGGTGCTCCATGGTTATGTGTCACTACACATGCACGTCTTTTCGTAATATGTCCTGGCACTAAAAAAAAAAAAAAACTAGAGGATACTTTTGTCTGGGACAAAACATTGAAATTAGCATGTGCCATGTGGGCTAAGAATGAAGGCATTGACCCGTATTGACACAATCATAGGTAATTATAGATAGAGGCGATGAACTGAGCAGTTTATCTCATTGAGAGTTATCCAACCTGCTGAAGTTTACAAAGAGCAGACTGCGCTAATAATAAGCAATAACTAAGAAATGAATTTTCAGAGTTGACGCGTACATATGGGAAGTAAACGTCAGAGTTAAAAAATTAAACAAAAAGTTAACGTACAGAGTCTGAAGCAACCTCGTGCCACGTAAGATATCGCTTTCTAAAACTGCAGGTGATGAACATCCTCGTCGCTACACTTTTTGTTTTGGGAGTTTAGAATTTTTATTCATATTCATAAAGTATTACAAATCACTGCAACATACTTGACGACACGTAATTTGCTTTTAACATTTCTCTAAGCCGTATTTTTGATTGCGTACTGCATTGTTACTTTGCAGTTTTATTCCAAACGTGAAGTCATATGGATCATTTCTGTCAGCAATACACAATTTCCATGCAAGGTGGATTTTGTCAGTGATGCGAATGGCACCCATACATTGTTTACAAGACATCACCGGGAAGGCGTAAGGTACAATGTCTTCACCCTATACAGAAATTTTCAATGAGTGATTTCGCTCTCTCACATAGGTTTCCGAAAAGAGACCTAATTGGAGAATTTAGAACAGAAGCACGGGAAGCACAAAATGGTTTGAATGCCATGCAAGTGTCACCCCAACGTGAAAACGCACGGCGTGAGTAGCAATTGAATTAGAAGTTCTTTTAATGCAATTTCTATATTTGCACACAAGCTTATACCTCTATGCTTTGTGTGATTAAGTTTCAGCCATAAAAACTTACCACCGCTTTCAGTAGAACCCCACAATGTTGGGAACTTAACGATTTTCTTTGTCAGTTCTGTAAAAATTAAGCACAGGACATGAGTTATTGAGTCTATATTTGCGCTAAGGCTTCCGGCCACAATAAAGTTGTAAGGTTTCATAGAGCTTTCTAAAAACCCCACAGACTCTTACTTGTGAGATACCAGTTATCTGTGAAATATACGCGTTTTTATATTTGAAAGACGCTAGTGTTTTTTGAGACCTTCGACTAAAAATTTTTGGTCTGTCTCTCTGTCTGTCTGTGTGTACCTTTGTCTGTTTGTCTTCCCTTAATATACTTTAAATGGCACCAAACGGCCTAGCCCCTCCGCAGCCCCCACCAATATTGCTCAGTGTTTAGCATTCATAGTTGTGCGATTGTCCATTGAAAAGCAATTATTGTGCATATCTGAGGCGCCATAAGAATACGTCGTTGTTTTGTATTGGATAAACTTTTATTTATCGAATACAAAACAACGATGCCTGCCTTTATACTAGAAAAGGCACACACAAGTAAATCTAAGGACTATAGCATTTATCGCGATGCGCTGACAGTGCAACGCGATGCTCAAAAAGGTATTTCAAACGTTTTGCTACTACGACACGGTGGAGACACCTGCCCGTCGCTTTGCGTTCTGCACCTTATCACCTCCGAGACAGGCGCGCATCTTTTTCCACAGGCGCACTTGCCTTCGTTTTCGAAAGTAACTGCCAGATGGCGCTCATGTCTAACGTGCCTCACGTTAGACACGAGCTCACGGAATACATAGAGCTCACGGGAATACACCAAATCAGGGAGTACAAGGTGACATGGGATGGACACCATTTGAGGGCAGGGAAGCTAGCAGCAAGATAAAATTTGAGAAGCGATTGAGAGAAATGGGGGAGCAGCGTTTGGCAAGGAAGGTATTCAGCTACTTGTTCATGAAGAATGTCGATACAAAATGGTGGAAGCGAACCAAAAATTGACTGGTAAAAACTTGGAAAACAGCAGGGGGCCAAACCAAAAAGAATTATCAGTTAAGAAGAAGGTGAAGGAAGCTGAAACCGATATGTGGAGAATCGGCATGATTAAGAAGTCCGCACTAGAGATCTATTGAAGTTTTAAGCAGGAAATAGTCAAGGAAAAGATCTATGATAATACTCGGGGTAGTTCTCTACTGTTTGAGACCAGGACGGGAGTATTGCGAACAAAGACATACCGAGCCAAATACGAACGGGTAGACACTGTATGCAGTGCGTGTGGAGAAAAATAAGAAACTGTCGAACACTTGATAATGTTCTGTAAAGGGCAGGTTGAACGCTGTAGTTCAGGTTGATGGCGCAGAGTTTTTCAAAGCACTGGGGTTTAGGGACAGTGAGGGCAAAATATACTTTAAGCGGGTAGAATTAACTAGAAGGAGGTTATCTGATTGGTGGCTAAAGTCAAGGCACGAGTAAAAATTGAACCCTTCGCTGCAAAGTACGAATCCTCAACCTCGCTATTTAAGGAAAAAAAAATCTAGTTTTGGTTCATTAAGTATTACGGCTTGGTGGCGCTAGCCACTGCCCGATCTAAAGGGTACAGCCATATCTATCCATCCATCCATTCATCTCAATGCGATCGTTCGCCTCCGCTACACGCTCGAGGCACTCTAACACAGCGCCTCCAGCATAAAATTCACCGTTTTTCTGGCGCAGAACATCAAATAAACGTTTTGTTCACACTCTTCACCCGCAAGGCTATCGTCTTTAGAAGGTATTTGTAGTGTAACATGCACATTTGCGGCCAATTTTTTATTCGTTATGCTCTTCCGTGCAAAATTCTTTACGGGTAATGGCAGTATGTCTGAAATAAAAAAAAAACGGCAGCATACTGCGTTCTTGTGGACGGACTGAGAAAGTTGTCGACGGCTGCAGTTTTCCGAGTGTTTGATTGAACTGCAGATCAGTTGAAGAGGCGTACCTTCAAGAGAAGCTCGTCGTACTCGAAATCACACTTTTCCGGTTTTAGTGCAAACCATGACGACCTAATGGCCTACAAGACTGTCTATGGTTTCCAAAAATGATGGGCAATGTTCTCCGAGAAAAAAAAATACAATATCATCGAAGTAGATGAGACATAATCCACTTTAGGCCCGACGAAATCGCGTATATTGTGCGTTAGAACATTGCGGCCGCAAAAAAAGTGTGAATAGTGTGGCATTACGCTCGAAGACGTCATTAGGCTGCTCAAACTGGTTTTATTGCGAAAGCCATTATATGGACACACTCTGCTGAGTGTGTCCATATAATGGCGCGCGGAGTCAAACGTGGGAACATCGCGTTATGAATGAGAAGCGTTAAGCACTGAGCTACCGAGGGTATTTTTTTTCTTTATTGCCTTGCATATCAAGACTGTTCACACTTTACATACTTACATATTGGTCAAAATACAAGTGCGTCACAAAGTACACCCAAAAAATTCATTTAGGTACCGTCAGCTCTTAGATGACTATTCATCCATACTTGGGCATTCGTAACAGTCGCTCAATGCGCCCAATTCAGTCTGGTACATCCTCTTGGCCCTTCAGCACTTCAAGAAAATGGCACACAGATTCGCAAGTATATTGGCGCACATATAGCACTTCTACATCGGCGTTTTTAAAGGCACATCGGTTTTTCCATATACTGTGCAGGCCCCGAAGCATGATTAGATCATAAGGTACGCCTGCCTCGTTTTTAACCGAAAGAAAACGGATGCCGTGTGGACCTAAGGGCAATTCTTTTTCAAGTTTCTTTCCAATATGTTCGAGAAAAAGACCGCGCTCCAGCAATCAATAAACACGTGTTCAATTGTATCCGGTTTACTACTCAAGTGGCAATGTGTGCTACATAGCACGAATATTCTCTATTATGCAACCACGTCTTAACTGGTAAGGTACCAGTATGTTTTTTAAAGAAAACAGTTTTGACTCCTGGCGCTACGAGCATTCTTTTAACACGTTTCAGAACATCCTGTCCTGGGCCTGCACAATATAGCTGACGGTACAATGGTACAGGCAGTGAGACATCGACAAGGTCTTTATACATTTTTTTACGTTGTACTTCAGCCAGATACTCTAACGAAAATCTCACTGACAAAAAGTGGAAAGACGAAACATAGGTCAGCCGGGACACCTCCTTTGACCTAAAATTCACGAAAAATATCAGACACGCAGACTAGTTCAATACCGTGGAAACCCTCGGTAGTGACCGCTGCATTTTCAACACTACATTTTGTACACGACAACTACAGCGCCCCATCGCACAGGCTCACCTACCAAAATGGGAAGCCTTCCGGAAGTCCTTACCTGACTCTCCCATTCTGGCGATCGGTTATTCCCAGTGGGCTCACTCTATGCTCGAAACACTAAGAAAACATAAGACCAAAATACAACTCGCGGATAGTCATCCGGATGTAGATAACCATCTCCCCCATCTTTGGGAGGCCCGTCGCAGCCTCACAAAGAGAAGGCGCCAACAAGCACAACCGCAAACTCCGCATGCGGATACTGTATCTCACCCAGAAGGCGGGCGAGTACAATGCCCATTTCGCCGAGTCACATTGGGTAGATCGCTGTAACACTGCCAGCAGTCTAGTTGCATTACATGGATACTCTTCGGCAGTCTGATTGATCTCACTCAACCGCGAGGTGAAACGCGAAAACAACAGCAACGAGCATTTCACAATTTCCACGGCTCCAGAACACAACTAGCCTTATCACTACGGGACCGCTATCTTTGCACTCTGCAGGACACGCGAGGCTCCACGTATCGCTCTGCAGGCAGAGAGCTCGGCGCTGGATGCTCCTTTCCGGTAACACGACTTTCGTGCCACTCTAGCCAAAATGAGGCGAGGTACGGCTTCCGGGCGAGACATAATTACCGTTTAATTGCTGGCAAATCGACCCGATGCAGCGCACCAGTCGCTTCTCGACTATAGTAATGCAATCTGGTTCGAAAAAACGCCCCTCCCACTAGACTGGAAAACGTGTCTGGTAACATTTGTTTCAAAGCCAGGAAAACCGATCAACACTGAGAATCTCACACCCATTTTTCTTACTTCTTGTGCGGGGGAGCTGATGTAAACTAGGATTGGGGATCGTGTCTCTCCCTTCTTGGAAGAGCGCCACATTTTCGCCGATTCTATGTATGGCTTCAGGCCCAAAAAATTTTCGCAGGACATACTCCCACCACTACACCACGAAGTACGTAATCCCGTAGAACACCCCACAACGACAAGATCATTCTAGCGCTTGACCTTAAAGGAGCCTTCGATAACGTCAAGCACGAAGTCATCTTAGCTCACTCCAGTGTCACCAACTGTGGGGAGCGCACCTTTTGACTACATCCGAAACTTTCTTATTGAGAGATCTGCGTACAATCGCATCCAAGATCAGGAATACGGCCCGTATGCCCTGGGCACGCGAGGCACACCAAAGGGCGCTGTGTTGTCACCTCTGCTGTTCAACTTAGCTTTGGCACAGCTTCTGGCCCACTTGGCTGCTGTCGACGGGGGAATGCATGCGCTTTATGCCGACGACATCACTCTGTGGGCCACAGAGGGATGCCTGGGCAACATGGAGGACAGCCTGCAAACCGCAGCCCATATAGTGGACGAATATGTGGTGTACTGCGGCCTCCAGTGTTCCCCACAGAAGTCTGAATTCGTGCACCTTCGGCCGTCGGTGAAGTGCACTTCGTCCATTAACCTTTCCCTGCATAGTGGACCTATTAATGAGGCCCAGGAGATCCGTGTCCTTGGACTCGACATTCACAAACACCGCAGGATCGAGACAACACTTCACAAGCTGCGTAAGTTTAGAGAACAGGTGGGCTGCATGGTCCGTCGAGTC